GCTGAGGGTCCCTGGAGCTGTGACAGACACACCTGAGGGTCTCTGCATGGAGACCCCCACGGTGCTGCCCACCATGGACGTGGACAAAGCCGTGGCCACGGCCTTCGTGGTGCTGCTGGGGCTCTTCCTGCTGGCCATGACCGTGCGCTGCGCCCGCCTCGTGGTGGATCCCTACAGCGCCATCCCCACCTCCACCTGGGAGGAGGAACCCATCAACTGACCCCAAAATATCCCCCTTGGGACCCCCAAACTCTGCAGGGTGCTCCAACGAGCCCCAGCTCCAGGAGAAGCACCCAGGCTCCCATTAACTCAGAGCTGCCTGTAGCTCCAGCACCCCTTATCCTCTGTGGGTCCCCCCCTTCCTTCAGGACCCCCATTTCTCCTATTGATTCCCATTTCCCTCATTTCCCCCATTGATTCCCTATTTCCCCCTTTGCTCCCATTGCTCCCCATTCCCCCTTGCTCCCAATTTCCCCCACTGCTCCCCATTTCCCTCATTACTCCCAATTTCCCCATTGCCCCCATCACTCTCCGTGTTTCAAACCCCTCCGAGGTGGCGGTTAAAGGATCGCTCGGGGCGGGTTCGGTAACGGCTCCAACGGCCCCGAACAGTCCCTGGGGCTCCGGGGCCGCCTCAGGAAGGATCCGCGGCCGCCTCAGGAACGAACCGCGGCTTTCCCGGCGTTCACAACTTAAACGGGGCCGGCCGTTCACGGCAGCTCCCTGGGACATTCGGTCAATTCCCCGAATTGCCGATTCCCGAGGGATTTATCCCCCGATTTCNGTACCAGGGCAATTTTAGGATGGGTTTGAGGGAAAATTCCTTCTCAGAAAAGGCTGCTCTGCAGTCACCATGCCTGGAGGTGTCCAGTGAAGAAATCCCAGGTGTTTTTCCAAAATCCTGGCTGGGTCTGTGTCCCAGCCCTTCCCAGAACCAATCCCTGCCCCCCCACACCATGTGCTGGAGCTAATTAAGGCCAGAAGGGAGCAAATGTAAATCCCAACCCCCACCAGTGCTCCAGGCTCCCAGCCCAGCTCTCCTGGGAAAGGCTCTGCTGCAACCACTGGCATCCCAACAGGCAAAAAAGGCTCCAAAATAAAATTACTGCAAATATTCCCAGCTGTGATTTATGCTGCAGCTTTTATGTGCGTTTTTATTGTAAAAAATCTGGTGCTTTTTGCTGCAGAAGCTTCAGCAGGGGGTTAATTGCCAGGCTCACGTTTGGATATCAAATCTCACAAGTTTTGCTTTAAATTCACCCATTTGTGATCTCCTCAGATAAAGCAGCCTTAAAAGTACTCTGCATTTCACTCACAACTAGAAGGCTTTGGTATTTCTGCTTTTATGGTTTTTTATTTACAAAGCATCTCAGTTTCAGTGTCTGGGGTACATTAAATTGGTTTTTTTTGAAGCAGGAGGTTTTTAGCTTGTTTGAGTTCCCCATGAAACGCCAGCTCAGCACTTTCATCCCCATGGGAACTTTCTCCAAGAAGAAATATAGAAATTAAGAAAAGAATGTTCCTTCCATAGCTAAGGGGTGAAATGAAGCCATTCTGGGTATTTTGGGGCATTATCCAGCATTCACTGGAGCCCTGAAATCTGTTTTTTAACACTTTAATGACAAGAAGACCCACGTTATTTGTGAGAATTCTTCAGAATTTAATCTCCTAATAATCTCCATGTTTACTGCTTGTGTACTTCCCTCCCTCTGTGTAAAAGTTGGTCACTCTGCCCATGATTACAAATATTAAACACAGATGTCGAAAATTCTTTCTCGTTTCTTTCAGAATTTAAACCTTTCTTGTGCAAAAAACCACAGAACCCTGAAGGATCCACTTCCACAAATGCTTGGACACTCACAAGTATCTTACTGGATGAGTCCCCAGTGGGTTTTTTCACCATTAAAAGCCACAAAACCTTCCTGAAAAGTTAAAATAAAACCCCAGAATCCTTCAGCAGTGTCACTGAACACTCCTGGACAAACCTGAGTGTGTCTCAAGCAACAAAGAACAAGCTAAGACTAAAAAAAAAACCCAAAACACAAACAAAGCTCAGATTCTGATCTCAGCCACCACGCTGTAAATCCATCACGACTTCACAGACGCTGGTTAATCTGGATACTCAGTTCAGAGTTTAGAGAGAAAATTGATAAAATCAGATCTTTTTCTGGCAAGAATCAGGGAGCAGCAGCTCGCAGCTTCCTGTGCACAGGGAGCTGAGGGCTCTGGGGAGCAGCGTGAGGAACCGGAGCTGAGGGAACATCGCGCTCCAGGCCCTCCCCTGCTTCACAGAGCTCCCAGAAACATTTGTGCAAAACCTTCAAACCCGGCCAGCACTTTGTGCTGGGAGTTAAGAAAAACCTCAGCGAAACAGAGATGAAAAAGGGGCAGAAGCCACCAAGGAAAACAAATCCAAAGGAGTGATGATGGAAACCCAGTGCAAAGACCACAAATCCACCTCGAGGGTTCCTCGTACCACCGGCTCTGCGGGGACCCCCGGCCCCAAACACCCCAAATCCAGATAAACACAGCCCTGAGCCCTCCAGGGTGCCCCATCCCACTGTGCCATTTCCCCCTCAGCCCTTCAGGAGCCTCCTCACGCCCCTGTCAGCCCCTCCAGGGCCCCTTCAGCGTCCTCAGAGCCCCTCACGACAACCTCCGCCCCTGAGGGTCGCCCTCAG